ATTGGAGTTAATTTAGAGCAATTAAAAAATAAGCGTTTTGTATGGGGATGATAAGAAGAATTAAGAGAGCAATTTGAAGAAAACCGTAAGCTTCTGGGTGAAATTCAACTTCTAGAAAGTTTGGGGGCTGGTCTAAAGATTAAAGACATGATGCAAATAAAAGAAGGACTTGAGTTGAACCAAAGAAGGCATTCTTGGACTAACTTGAATTGGAAGGAAAAGATCAAAACTTGTGATGTCATGGTTAGATGTGACGAACTTTGATTTTCTCTCATCGTCTAATTAGACTTCTACGTGAAATGAAGACGAGACACGGATTTTAACTTAGTCTTAACACTATAAAAAAGAGATTTCTATGGTATTCAAAAACGGAAGAAGCTTTAATTCACAAACATACAATCAATAACAAATTTTATACGTTTATTTGGATTTTGAAAGAAGAATAAAGAATACAAGAAGATCATTTAACAATTATGTAAGAGATTTAAAAATTTCTGAAGTTGTTTTTCGCTTTATTTCAACAATTGACCTTCGGGTGATGTATTATAATTCCACATCGTATTTATGTATTTTAATAATGCTCGATTAATTGTCTAGAAGTTAGGAAAATGACGACCTTATATTTTTAAGTTTAATGTTAATTTCAAGATTTTGTAGTCAAGTATTTGTTTGATTTGAATGGTTATTAGGTTATTAATACTTTTCGTTCTTAAATAATTGATAGATTCATGATTTTCATTCTACTTGAGAAAACGAATAAAAAATTTGGCATATATATAATAACAATAATTATAAAGTCCAATAATAAATAAAGATATATCATTATACTTTGCTTAATCTTATCCTAAATGTTTTTTGGGGCATAATTTGTTTTCATATATTCACATTTTCTATAGAAATATGGTAGGCTTATATGTAATGATATTTTAATAATTATTCGATTAAATACAGAATAATGCAACTTTAAATAAGTATTATCAATTATTTGAGTTTGAAATTAAAATGGAGTAATACAAGGGATTCGATGTTCTAGTAGTTTTCATTAAAAGGTATAGTTAAAATTAGGGCTGGACAAAACTCCCGAACTGAACCGATCGAACCGAACCCGATAGTTCTTCTCAAGTTAAATACTCAAACGGGTATTTGAATCAAAAACCGACGGGTATGGTTCGATTCTCGGTTCTAGGCCAAGACCCGAAAAATCGAATAAGAACCGAATCTACATAATTTTTTTAATTAATTTATTTTAAATAAGTAAAATTATTTTATTTTTTCTAAATAAATTTGTTAACTAGTTAATTTAATTCAAACTACAGAATATGATTTTCCTATTTCTAATTTTCAGTTCAAAATCAATTTAATCAAATTAACCTCAATTTTATCCAAATCTGTTATTCTATTGTGATGTCGTTTCTACCAGAAAAAATCGAATTAAAGCTCTACAACATCTTTCTTAATTATTTTCAGCTCGCTATCTTTCTCTTTCTGTGATTTTAATAATCAAATTTATGAAGAATTCAGTAAAGAGAGACGTGAAACACATAAGATTGAACTATGTTATTTTGTAAGAGCTAATATTGAATATATCATTAATTAAATTAACGTAATTTTGTATATATTAAAAAAATTAATTATAATACGGAACCGAATGAAATCGAACCCGAACGGTTCTATAATTAAATTTGGACCCGACAGTTCCACTTACTAAATACTCGAAAATTTCGAATCGATTCAGTTCTCGTTAGAACCGAATCGAACCGAATCATATTCAACCTAAGTTAAAATTTGGATTTTACTGAACATACAGGAGTTCCGTTTTCACATAACCCCGCCTATATAAAAAAATGCCCAAACCCCTCCCCAACCCACCCATGTTGTGAATGCCTGTAAGGGTTTTGTATCACAGAACCCTTGTACCTCAAGCATGACTCTTAAATTTTTTATATTTAGTTAGTCATGCAATTTATCAACATCCATAAATTTGTGTAATATTTATTGAAATCTAATTGAATATACAATTCTCATAAGAATCGTCTTTTATGCACTTTATTGTTTGTTTACAATATAGGTATTTTTGCTGACAAGAATAACTGTCATTTCCCGACATAAAAAAATCACCAAAATTGTTTAACATTTCAGAAGATGTTTGGCACCCATTTTTATGAATAAATGAATTTTAGAATAGTAGATTGATGTATAATGTGTGGATGGAAAATAAGGAAAATTTTTGATTTACGTGTTGTAGTGAAAATCCCTCGATAAGTTTTGATTTCGGGCTGAGAAAATAATCAAATGAACACCAATTTACCTTGGCTCGACCCAAGAACTCCCCTTTCACTTTGGGCTGTCCAAACTCTCTCAAACTCCACAAAGGAGAAGGGGTGGTGGTGGTGATAGAGAGAAGAAGACTGGCTGCCCCCTCACCTCTCTCGGCCCTCTTTCCCTCTCTCAACAGACACCCACACACCGCCATGAAAACGGCTGCAAGAAGATGGGTATATATAGGATATGTTAGACACACCTTCGGCTAAAAACTTGTGCAGATGTGCTTCTTAAAACCTAAACTAATGGGCTACCAATTAATCTAAAACCCACAATTTAATAACCCAACTACTACTTGGAACATCCACAAGTATAGGTTATTTCCGAGTCGAGCCAAGTCCATGGTGTCGATAAATAATTCGACAGCTATTTTAAATCATCGCCCAAATTTATTGGGTATCAAAAAATCCGAAACGTGTAATATTATTTTAATGAAGAATGTGTAGTTAAAAAGAAAAGAGAAAAAAAGATATTTTGATGAAAATGAGAGTTAAACGGGGCCTTAAATGGTTTCTTGTTCTACTTTTCTTTTTTTGAGTGCTTACAAGTTACATTTTAATACTTGTTTAGTTTGTTAGTGCTTTTAAGCACTTATAAGCTGTGACTCCTACTGAATGTATGGATACTAAGTTGTGGGGTTATATCTTTCTATAGATAGGTTTGGTTTCAAACCCACTATTCGAACAAGAGTAAAGAAAACTAAAATTACAATTTAAGCTTTGCCAAATATGCTCTTGATGACACACACACACACACACATATATATATAAGAGAGAGAGATGATCTAATAAGCATCGGTGCTCATCTTATAAGAAGCAATGGTGATGTGCCATATTATTTCATTGGTCAATAATAAATTTAATTTAAATGTTGGAAGTCACAGAATCTTTATCCTCTAATGAATTAATAGATTTAGAGAACTTGTTGCTTTTCATTTCACACAATTAATTCGTTTATTCAACTTGGAACTGCATATACAGCCATACAGGCCTATCTGCATATATACATATACTGATATACATCATTTAGTATATATCTAGCTAATGTTTATCATTCTGAGATGCAAATTTGTAGGAGACATAAGCACTTAGTCCAACAATGACAAGCAGTGCTGCCCCCATATTCACCAGCAATTGCCTCTCTCCATTCAGCTCACCAAGTCCTTTAACTGATTTCTTCTTCTGCTTCTTCAGTTCCAATTTCACAGCATCAAGATCATGATCAGGAGAATCATGAACTGCACTTGATTGTTTCTCGGATATGATCTTATTATCTTCAGGACTTATTTCTTTACCTTTTCCAATGTTATCCTTCGATGATGCATTTTCTGGTGTAAAATGTTTCTCTTTGGTTTCTTGGATTCCCTTTTTCTCAATATATCTTTTCTGTTCGTCTTCTTGTTGTCCAGTTCTAGTACTCAGATGATCACCTGACGTTCTCTTAATTCTTGGTAGTTCCAAACTTTTGTCATCAACAATCTTCTTCCCAGCCTTATCCACAATACTTTCATGTGCAGCAGGTTTCTCTGTCATTTCTGGGCTTTTCTCCTTCTCTACATGATTCTTTTGTTCATCTTCTTGTCTTCCTATTTTCGTAATCAGATGATCACCTGATGTTTTCCGAACCCCGGGAGCTGGTTTTAAACTTTTGTCATCTGTTATCGGCTTGCTAGTACTAGCCGTGGGAGTAACTTTAACCTGGCTCTGCTGATCAGGATTGGGTTCGCCGGGAGATTCCATGCCTGTAGTTTCAGGAGGAAGGACTTGATCGTGAGCTTTTGGGGGAGGGCTGAGGGATGCTTGACTGGTTTTGTTTTCTTCCTTTTTGGTTGCAAGTGTTTTACCGGCAACATTCTTTCTTGGGACAGTAACAATTAGAGTTCCTCCTCCATGCTTGGTTCGAACTGATGTTAGTTCGCTGTTATCCGGGACCTGGAAGTCTTCCTGGAAACGGCTCCATTTGTTGCCGGCAACCAGGCGTTCTCCACGTACTCTGATGAAGTTCTGGTCTACGGTGGAAACTTTGAGTTGATCCTTCATGAAACCTGCAGGGGAAACAAGGTAGAGGTGTAATCTGGCCTGACCTAGGAAGATGTTAGTGGCTCGACGCTAGCCCTGGTGTCAATGGTTCTGGCCAGGCTGACCACTCCTTTAATCTTTGCTTAAGGCATTTTGTTGCCCG